TCAATCCCTCAACTTCACCTGCTTCTTCCTAACACAGTTTCTTATTGTAGAGAACAGATCTTTCAAACTTCTGTTTATGGCTCATGATACTACTGCTTTTTTCATATCTGAACTTTTTATAATTCAGCTAGTCTGCTTAATTATTTACTTCATAATCAAGAATATGGAAAAAATATACCTTATTTCTTAAAACTTTTTCCCATAACCTTCTGAGACATCCACTCTCATGGTGGTCTATACTCTTGGGGAAGAGATGGTAAAGGTAGCTCTCTAGTAATTACAGAACATGTGCTTTGCGCACTATTTAATGCTGGAGCTACATAATCATCTAACAAGAGAGATCTTTCCTTATATTTTGTGATTTTTTTTGTTGTTATTTAAGAAACATTGTTTCTGACCAAAACTATGTAATTAATGCATTTGTATTTTTTTTAGATGTTCTACTAGTTTATTTACAAAATTCAAATACATTGCTTTCAAGAAAAATTCAATTTCCCTTAGCCCCCCCACCCCCCACTCATCAAATTGTACAACCCCATGATTAATCCTCCCCTCCCCCTGTACATCCTCATCCCTCTGCTTCCAACCTCTCCCAGCCCTCTTGGATCCTTATACTCATTCTATAATAATGGTTTTATACACTATTTATCCTTGTGGAACTGAGTTAGTTCACCCAGCAAATGCTCTCCAGTCCCTCCCCAGTTAGGTAATAATTTACAGAATCATTGCTTCTGCATGCTGCATAGTATTCCATGGTGTGAATGTACCATAATTTCTCAATCCGTTTGTTTGTGGTTGGACATTTGGGCTGTTTCCAAGTTCTTGGTGTTGGTAAATAATGCTGCAATGAACATTGGTATACAAGCCTTTGTTGGTGCTTCAGTTCTCATTTTCTCAGGGTATTTTCCAAGTAGTGGAATAGCAGAAGTCATATGGAATTTCTATTTTCAGCTTTTTGAGGAAGTTCCAAGATGCCTTCCATAGTAGTTGAACACATATGCATATTTTGAACCTATATCCATTTATTTGAAATTTAAAAATACTGATAGAGCTTTTAACATCTGAAGTTATAATTAAGATATATAATTTTTCCATATTCAAACAAGATTCTAAAATTAATCTACTTTTCCCACTATTTTTTCCCAACAATGTATTGCTTCTTATTGCATAACAACATTGAGATTGTTAACAGCTTTAGTCTGCTTGGCTCCACGGTCGACGCTCTTGGCACCAGTAGCCAGGAAATAAAAAAATGTATTGTGATGGGAAAGTCTGCTGTTAGGAATCTCTCCAGGTTACTGAAGAGCAATGGTGTCACTCTGGAGACTAAGGTGCATCTGATACAGGCCATGGTCTTTGCAATCACTTGTTATGAATCAGAGAGTTGGACAATGACTAGGGAGGATAGAAGAATAATTGATGCCTTTGAGCTGTGGTGCTGGAGAAGAGTGTTGAATGTAACCTGGACTGCCAAGAAAACAAACTCATCCTGGAGAGGGTTAAACCAGGCTGCTCCTTGGAGGCAAGGATTCTGGGGCTTCGTCTGACATACTTTGGACATGTTGTAGGAGGGACAGGTCTTTGGAGAGGGACATCATGCTTGGGAGGGTGGAGGGAAGGCGTAGGAGGGGAAGACTCTCTATGAGGTGGATTGATTCAGTGACTGGGGTAATCCAGATGGGTGTGTCAGAGGCAGTGCCATTGTCACAGGATAGAGCAGGGTTTAGGGCTGTTGTACATAGGGTCACTATGAGTCGCAAGCGACTCGACGGCACATAACAACAACAACAACAACATTTTTAACTTGTAGGTTTATGCTCAATTAGAAGGATTTCTCTTCCATAATTATCAAAATAAGAGAACTCAGGTTAATTTAATGGATGTATCTTAAATGTCTCATTTCTTTAAGCTGGATGCTAAGTTAACTTTTAAATTACATCAAAATTGTGCTGTAGCAATAACAATTTTCTCTACAATTATATTCATACTCCAAATAAAGGGGATTCTTTAATATACATGTATGTAAAAAAAAAAATGTATAGGTCAATTTTCTTTCACTTCCAAGTACTAGATTAGGTTCAAGGTAGTTTAGATATAAAGTTTATTGGGAAAATAGGGTGTATCTCATTTCATTGAAAAAAAATATTTTAAATTAAGGAAAAGGCTAAGGGCTTCCAAAACAAATTAAGTAAGCAACAAGAATTTTTAAACTCATCTCTTTTCCTCCTTGTATGGTTGTTTTCTACTTATTAACTTTATTTTCCCTTACACTAGCCTGTTTGCTTAGTGACTTGCCCGAACTAATTTTACAAATTATGTACTTTGTTTGCGACCACTTACATCGCCATGTAGTTAGGCTGGTGGTTAGGTAATGATTAAACAGGGATTTCCTTAAACACCTGGTGTCTTTAAATCTCCCAGTCTCTGCCAAGGGCTCCATGTGCACATTGGGTCACAACTTATGCATTAGTAGTACAACGGAGTGAAGTTACAATCCTGCTTATGTGAACGCTTCAGGCCAGCCTGAAGGACGTGGTTTCAGTCATCTCTGTTCTCATCTGCACACACAGAGCTTTCCCCATCTATGTGACCTAGGAAGGTACCAGAGCCTCTATAACCAGTTCGTTTCTTACTTTTTCCTTTGGAGCTTCTAGGTTACTCAACTGTTGACCACAACTGCCACCATGCCAAGATATTAAAACAGTTGCTGTAAATGTTTCTTAACAAATACCCACTGACGATACACTTTTAGCGATGAGAATTTTGTATCAGGTCAAAAGGGCTGTTTTGCATATAGTCCTTTTGAGTGGGACCTTCTGGGGAACCACACAACAAGTCAAATAATGACAATTTGGTGAGCAGAGGCTTTAAAAAGGAATATAGCTCCCACCTGCGTCCATCAACCCCCAGTGAACCAGATCTTGTCTATAAAAGCTACAGCTCCTCTCTGCCTGAGGGTGTAGATCATTGTTTTTCAAAGTTACTGCTATGCTTGTGAGTGGAGGGTAGCAGCACTGTGTAAACTACATTGCCACAAGCTGTTTTTTCACAATTTCACAAGTCAGTGATTCTTCTCAAATAAACTCCTTGGGTTGCTGTAAAATTTTCTCTTCATTTTCAGAGCGATTGAAATTTCCTTTTTTCTTTTGCCTTATGGAGGACTAATTTTTAGAAGTCCTCACCATCCATTTTGGTTCACACTTTCCCAGTTGTTAGAATTTTATTTACTCACTACATACAATGTCATTTTTCTTAAATTAGTATTTCAGAAGAAAATATTTTAAAAATCAATTGTAGAAGATTTTGCTGAATGGGATACTTATTATTCGTTAACAGAATATATTAACCCAGAAAGATAACTGAAGAGGGTATGGTAATCAAAGACTTTTAAATCTGCTATTTATTCTGTTTTTTATTTTTCTTAAAGGACAGTGTATGTATGTGTGTTTGTATGTGCATACACACATTTGTTATATAATTACAAACCAAAGCAATTTTTAACATTTTTAAATCAGTAAATCCTTAAGCAATATTACGTGTATAGCCATTTATGAGAGTTAAATAATCAATAAGGGATTTCTAATTTCTCTCATGCTAAAAGCCCCTTAGCTCTTACTATGAAAATGTCAACTCATCGCAGGCTTTCTCAATACACCATCAACATTTTGTGTCAGATGATTTTCTTTGCAGTGGAGGATGAGTGACTATGCATTGCAGATTGTTAAGGAGCATCTCTAACATCTACAATGGCATACATAAAAGTAGCATCCCGAAGTTGGGGTGTTTTTTTAAAAAATTTATTTTAATAAAAGTTAAAGAAACGTAGGGTTTCCATTCATTCATTGTTGCACTTTTCTCCCTGCCCACTCCTCCCCTCCAAATCACTCAACTCTTTGAAAACTAAAAGAAAAATTCTTTCTTTGTTATACAATCCCTCCCCCTAAGTCCACTCCACTATGCAGCCTTCATTCTGGCCTCCTGTCATAACAATAATACCTAATCATATATCCCTTTTAAACAGTTCTCTCCCTCATCTGTTTCAATGCTGCAGTATACATTATTTATCCCCTCTTTCTCAGTCTTCCCTTAATCCTGATGTCTGTCCCGCTTTACAACAGTAGCCCTATGCAATATTTGTCCTTTTGTGACTGAGATATTTCACGCAGCATAATATCCTCCAGGGTCACCAATTTTGTATAACATTTCATGAGTTCCTTATTTTTCAATGCAGCATAGTATTCCATTGTGTGAATATACCAGAGCTTTTCTATCCGTTCGTTTGTTGATGGGCACTTGGGTTGTTTCCATCTCTTTGCTATTGTGAACAAAGCCACAATAAACATGCTTGAGCATATATCTGCTTGGGTGGTGGTTATGGTTTCTTTAGGGTATATTCCCAGTAGTAGAATTGCTGGGTCAAATGGTATTTCTATTTGCAACTTTTTGAGAAAGTGCCATACAGCCTTCCATGGTGGTTGCACCATTTTACACTCCCACCAACAGTGAATAAGGGTTCCAGATTCTCTGCAAGCTCACCAGCCTTTGATGTTTGCTACTCTGTTGAATTTTGTTCTTCTTACTGGGGTGAGATGATATCTCTTAGATGTTTTATCCCTAAGTTTTAACAACAACAAAATCTCTTCAGATACTGTAAAATATCTCCTGGGAGACAAAGTTACTCCCAGTTTACAGTCACTGGATTAAAAAAGCTATGTCATAAAGCGGGGATGGGGGGGTGGAAATGGGATTTACCTATTGTGGAGTGCTTGAGATAAATAGATAAGTCATTTCACAATGAAATTCATGGAATCTCCTAGCAAAGTTCCATCAGGAAAAATTAAACAGAAACTTATTGGGGGGGAAAAATCCTTTTATTATCATTGTAATTTCTCTATAAAATGCACGAATCTTCATGACACTTTTGGCTTGGTATGTACAGCCTTTATTGTTGATGTTGTTTCTGATTATAATGCTGGTCATTTCACACTATGTACATACAGCTCGCTCGGCGATCGCAGGAAGTTGTACCAATGATGGAGTCCACATCATTAGAGGTTACAGCTTATCCTCCATGCCATTTACTACCCTGTGTGGTGATGAGGTCCTGGCTCCACTCTCCATCTCTGGTCCAGTGCTGATTAACTTCTACTCTAACGCACACATCACAGACTTTGGATTCAAGCTTTCCTATAGGATAACTTGTAAGTAGCCTACATTATGTAGCTTGTAGTTCTGTTTTCTTATTTTATGTGTGTGTTAATTCTTATCATATTTGTTTGTGACTCATGCTATCACCATTTTGGAGCTTTAGAAGATAGTAAGGAGAAAGGGAAAATTAGGTGCCTAATACAAAAGTCTATAGATCATTTTCCATAAAAACGAAGAGGAGGAAACTGAAAAGGTTGGATAATGATGGGCAAGATCCAATGGTAATTGATTTTCTAAAACATAGAGCATGGGATTGATTGTATGAACCACAATATGAGTGAAGATTAGTGTGAAACACAATGTATATGAGCTTTGTGCGCAAACCAATATAATTTTTTTTAAAAATTAAAGAAAATAAAGAGGAGTTTTCTGTGAACTTTTGCTAAACCAGCTTTTTAGAAATAAAAAGAATTATTAAGTATTTATTTTTAAAGTGAATATTATTTTTGTCTCTAATTGTCTGTACAATAACAATAATATCTTTTAAAAATGGATTCTCCAGTAGCCTGTTTCAACCCCTCATGTCACTTTACTAATGTGAAAAGTATCACTACTTTATAAATCAGAAGAAATATAGAAGCTGTATTTATGATTTTCTGCTAGGAAATTATTTTTTTAATGATATGATAATAGCATAAACCCTAAAGAAAAGAAAATGCATGCAAGTACACTATAAAGAATTCTATGTATCAAATCCAAAGTTAGAGACAGGCCAGTTAACAGATAAATATCTTTGAAACTACTACACAATTTTTCTGACAGACAATTTGATCTCTATTTATTCCACTTAGTAAGATCATGTTTCCCTACTCTAAACAGTCTTTTCCTTTCTTGTAATAAACTTAATTATTTTGTCAACAATTATTTTAACACACCATGCTGATTTCAATGAAATGAGGACACAAATCCTGTAAAATTTATTATCATCTTTACATAGGTAAACCCATTGCTAAAAGAAGAACATTAAATAGGGGTGATTTCCCCTAAAGTAAGTTACTATTTCCATCAGTTGTTATTGTGTGCCGTCAAGGTAGACCCGGCCCATAGCTGACCCTCCAGCAGGTTTTCAGAGGCAGTAAATCCCATGGGAAATTTTCCATCTTTCTCCCACAAAGAAAGTTTTCATAAGTCATTTTCATTAGCTAGTATCAGAATCTTGACTCTCAGCACTTACAAAGTATATGTCAAAGTGATTTTATAGGTTTCTTGGCATAAACAGGATAAATATGAATGACTAAAATTTCTTCCCCAATCGTATAAGGATTGATTTGGTTCATACTCATATATGATAGCTTCTTTGAGTGGTTAAAACCTAAACTTTTTATGTTATTTTCTTTAAACAATTTATATAAGTTTCAATATAGTTATCACAATATTCTTGTTTCATTTTAAGACTTCCAGTCTTTACTGTGTGCAAACATTGAAGGTATTTAAATATTGGTAAGCTTTCAAGACTGTATGATTGTGTACAAATGCGATAGGGTAATGTCTGTGTAAATCTAACATTTAATCCACTACTGTGTTTCCTGGGATCTGAGCACATGAATACTTATGGGTATAATAGAGATTAGTGTTCCCTGCAAAGTGGGCTTAGCAGAGACCGTTATAATAATGTGGTGTGGTCTGTAGGGAGTTGCACTGCTAAGTCAAAGGTGGCGGCACTCTGGCGGTTCAGATTCACCAGATGCTTTGTGGGAGAAAGATGAGCAAGTGTCTCCAGTGTGTTACAAAGAACCTTAAGTGGCAGTCATAATATTTGTTCTTACTTCTAAATCACATAAATGGACATATATAAAGATAGGGTACAAACCATTGGAATGGCATAAAAATCTACCATTCATAATTTTGGTGTTTCAATATTATATAAATACATCCTTTTCTTGCTGTGATAAAATTAAGTGACATAGTTTGAGCCTTCCTTGGTATAGTCCAAAGAATAATGAGACATTTTAAATTGCTCTTCTGTGGCTTTCTGATATTATTATGGTGTCATTTTATTGATTAAGCTGTTGATTTTGGGAGTCAGAGGGAGAGTGAACCTGTCTTCATGCTTGTTGAGGACTAATAATACAAACTCAGGCGAGTATAGTTCTCTTCTATCTCACAACTAGGCAGACGTACATAGGACCTACAAATTATGTATTTGAACCTATAGAAGGAATCAAACTTGAAAACACTAAATGAAACTTACAGTACTGTTCTTTATAAAATTCTATCCTTAACAAAGGAGACTTAAATGGTGTGAGATTTGTAAATGTCAGTCCTTTCTGAGTCTGAATTCCAAGAACCTGCTCTGGATTCTTCTTTACTCTCTAAACTTCCAGTTATTGTCCACATTGCTCTCTCAGTCTTCTCATTAAATATAGGGACAGAAACCTTTGCATTCCAGCACTTGAAATGCTCTTTCTCACTGTTTTCATTTTGCCTAGTAATTTGATTCAGACTTAATTCTTTCTAAGATGTGCCTCAAAAGACTTTTGTTCTCATCCTACTCTATCATTATTTCTTTTATTTCTCCCTTATGATAAAGGCCAGTTATTTGTCAACACAATGAATGAAAAGAGGTTTGAGTTGCTTTGAGAAAAATATTCTTTTATGGAAAAGAATACAATGTTGTAGAATATTTTAGAATTGTCTCTCCATGCACAATAACTGATATCTGTTTGTTCCTTTGTCTTGCTGTAGCCTGTGGTGGCATTTTCAACTTTTCCACTGGAATCATCCGGAGTCCTTCCTATTCCTATTCAGACTACCCTAACAATATGTACTGTTTGTACACCATCACTGTTAGAGTCGACAAGGTGATCCAGCTCAAGTAAGTAGGGAAAATACACCTTCTTAATGAAATCTTTTCAGCTCTTTACAGAAAAGATATCCCGGCCTGATGGAAAGCATTGAGTCTCCTCATAGGTCTTTAAAGAAATCTATAGGAAGGAGGGGATCTGATGGGATAGTCTGTAGAGAGTTGTGCAGCTAACTAATTGGCTGCTTGTCTCTTGTGGTTCAAACCCACCAGGGGCTCTGCAGGGGCTGAGCAATAGTCTACCTTTAAGATCATAGTAGTGAGCTTTTTGAGTTTGAGACAAAGGTGTGGAAAGATTCCTGGAAACAGTAGGGAAGTGGCTTCGTTCTCCTCATGCAAACAAATAGTGATTAAGGGGGAAGGACAAGCACATGAGTTAAAATTGTTATCATTTTCCCACCATTCATTCCTGCAGAGCAAAGTCTGCATTCGATGTGTACATTTTATATACAGGTACACAAATTAACAAACTATTTTAAATAGTCCGTAAAATAATCACATGAGGTTTATGTGATTTTTTTTTATTTAACCAATGAGAAAACTGAGGCAGTCTGATAGAAAACTGAAAAAACATACATACACAACTAAATAAGGAGTGAAAATTTGATTCCATGGTAGGTATCTGCCAAAGATCATCTCCTGTTTCCTTCAGCTGTCTCGTTCAAAGGGTTAATTTTCTAACTACTTAAAAGTGGCGTGTGTTTTTCCTTCATTTGTGTATTAGAACACATTTAGACTGATGTTGTAGAGACATTATATCTGTATTACAAGTCTTTCCCTAATCCTTCTCAGGGAGTTCTGGTGGCCTAGTGGTAGTAACTGCATTGTGATATCAAAGGCACACAATTCAAATCCACCAGCTGCTCTGCAAGAGAAGGATGGAATCTCCTGTGGGACTTATTGCCTCTGAAACTCACTCGAGTTTGGGTCAGTTCTGAATGATGGTAATCAGTAACATCAACAATCCTATTCAACTAACAAGAATGATTAAAGGACAGAAATCTACAGCTTACCTACGTGATAAAACTTGAGGGTGCTTTTATAAAAAAAATAACCTCCTCTTCAGAAATATATTTCAGTGTTAACGTAGCATGTCATGGAAAACTCTGGAGCTTGATATAGTTCACAGTATTACAGCATTTTTCACATAGAAGGTTAATGGGTTGGAACCACCCCTCTTCCCTGTCCAATAATAGCTCTGTGATCGCCTTCCACCTTAAACATGACAGACTGTCTATGGTCTACCTCTCAGGGCCGCACATGAAATGGGGCCTCTGCTGAGACAGGTCTCATCCAGCCTGCTTTGCTCATGTAACAAAAAGTGGTCTGTGGTCTGGACCTTCAAGAAAATTGCAAAACCCATCTGAGCTTTTTATTTGTAAGAAAACTGTCTCATTCCAAAAGTTCTTTAAAATTCCAGGGTCAAGAGAAGGACAACAAAGACCTACACCCCCCCTTAAAAACAAAACAAAGCACATACATGCTAAAAAACCAAGCACAACAATCAAACAAGCGGTCAGAAAGATAGAATGCCTATGATGGAATCACCAAGACAAGAATACAACATTAGGACCAGGTCTTGTCATTTGCTTCTGGTAGGATTGTTTCTGGCATGCATAAGTTTATAGTTTAAATGGGTGATTTGGAGGGTTTGTGGGGCTTTATGGCATGTTGTCATGTACTGTTGTTTATGATTCATGACAGCCTTACAGAACAGAATGGCCCCTGTAGGGCTGCCAAGGCTATTACCACCACAGGAGAAGATTACTAGGGTTTTTACCTTCAGGGGGTCTCTGGCAAGTTTGAACCACTGATCACTCAGTTAGTAGCAGAGTGCTTAACTGTTGTACCACCAGGGATATAGAGATGATGTTGTTGTTATGTGCCGTCGAGTCACTTGTGACTCATAACGACCCTATGTACAACAGCCCTAAACTCTGCTCTGTCCTGTGCCAATCGCACTGTCTCCGACACACCCATCCCAATTACCCCAGTCATTGAAGCCATAGAGATGATACTTTCTGGCTTTCCCCACATTTTATACTGGTCCCAGAGGATAAGTTCACAATTAGAAGTTTGAAAACTTATTTGCTATGTACTTTCTAAGAGTCCATATTTTATTCAAATAGACACTTTTAGGTGCTACAGAAGATACTTTAATAAAACCTAAGTTCTCCTGTCTATCTAGCTCTTCAACTATGCTGTCAGTGTACTTTATCTGTCAATGGATATTTCAAGATATCTTCTGTGCTCTTCTGAGTCAATTATACAAAATTTTTAAAAAAATCCAAAAGGTTTGAGTCTTCTTGAAAACTCAGACTTTTATTTTCTTTCGTAGACCGTCATGGAAAATAAACACTTTGTGTCCATAGAATGAAAATGAATGAAGTACTTTTTGAAGTTCTGAACTGTTGTTCTACCTTGACTTTTTACAAGAAATTACATATTACATGTTCTTGTGGGGTGGGGGGGAATTACATTTTGTTCTTCATAATCAGCTTGAAAATATTCAATCAACAAAGTCCAACTGGGGGGGAAAAATCAACATTTGTTTTCAAGATCTTTAGAAAGAAGTACATGTTTTAATCACTATTTCAAAATGATCTCATATGATACGTATGATATATTAATCTAGCTCCCAAAACATTAACAATAGCAACCACAACACAAACTAAGAAAGCAGAAAAATGTACAAGTTATGGAGAGGATATCAAAGAATTCATGTAAGTTTTTTAAAAAAATGCGTTATAATTAACACCACTGTAAAATTCAAAAGGAAAATAAAATATGTAGAAGGTTTTGCTTGTTTGGGGAAATTGCTTGAAATGACAAATTACATTTTTCATTGTTGTTGTTGTAGTTAAGTTGTAGTCAAGTTGCCTGCAACTCATAGCAACCCCGTGAGCAACAGCCCTAAACTCTATCCTGTGAGTTTTATTGTCTCTGACACACCTAAACCTAATATCCTAGTCACTGAATTAATCCATTTCATCAAGAGTCTTCCTCTCCTGCGCTGTCCGTCTACCCTCCCAAGCATGACAGACGTCCCCCTCCAAAGACTGGTCCCTCTTTGCAACATGTCCAGAGTAAGTCAGACAAAGCTTCAGAATCCTTTCCTCCTAGCCTGGTTTCACCCTCTCTAGATCAAACATTCTCCTAAGTGGTATAGCACTGGTCTGTCCATTTGCTGTACAGATGTTAACTCGTGGTTGCTGTGATGCTAAACACTGACCCTATTGTGTCAAATGTGATAATGGTCACTTAAGGTGGACAGTGTTTGGTGGAGTTCCCCGATTAAATCAAGCATGGAAGCAAGAGTAGCATTCACTTCTGAAATAGCTTGCCTCCAGAAACTCTATGAACTTGGAGAATTGATGAAAGTAATGTAAGTGTTCACCTCTTTCATTCATAGGGTTGCTATGAGTCGTCTACGACTCGATGGCACTTAACAACAACAATAGGATGAACTTGTTTGTTCTCTTAGCATTCCATGGTATATTCAATACTCTGCTCCAGCACCACAGCTCAAAGACATCCATTCTCCTTCTATCATCCTTAGTCATTGTCCAGCTCTTTCATGAATAGAAAGTAATTGCAAAGACTATGGCCTGGATCAGGTGCACCTTAGTCTCCAGATCTATATCGTTGCTCTTAGGACTTTACTTGATATGGTTATGCCTTTAATAGTTACTTGGAATGACAATGCATAAGGCCTACTTTAAAATAGGTTAAACCATATAGTAAGATTCAGTTGTATCTGTCAGGTTAGGTTATAAGTGTTTAAAACATCCCCAAGATTCGGTAGCTTGCTTAACTCAGTGCATTTATTTCTAATATGTGCAAGGAAGCTCCCTCCGAGTGGCCACCAGAGCTCCCTACAAATGCCACTAGTGCTACATAATATTTTTTCTTTTATGAGACACAGTCTTTAACATCTTCCTGGTTTTCAAAATCATAATGATAACAGCAACTTTAATTTGAAGTTCATCATGGTTCATTCAGAAATCCAAGTTCTAGAGGGTTCATTTCTTCTGGTACTTTGAATGAAGAGGAAGAGATTATGGCAAATGGATCAGTGGTTTTAAAATTTATTCCAGGAAGACATATGTATCACCTCTGGCATACATTTCACTTATACAAGCAAGTCTTCTAGTCATGCCAGCCCTGAAAGGCTGTTCAGAGGAGTGATCCTACTAGTACTAGTACTAGCGAGATGGAGAAGGGGCAGGAGGATGGGGTGTATAAGCAGGTTCTAGTGATCACTACATGGAGCAGAAGTGTGGATTTCTTGTTACAGCAATGAATGTGATTCAAGGAATTTGAGCTGATTCTTTTCTTCTGTTGCTGGTGGTGTGTATTGTCAAACCAGAACCAAACCATAACTGACTCTTCAGAAGGCATTCAGAGGAAGTAAATCACAAGGAAGGAGATTGTCCATCTTTTTCCAGCAGAGCAGCTGGTCGATTCAAACCATGTACCTTCAGCGTGGCAGTGCAACTCCTTACCGCTAGGCCACCAGAGCTCCCTTAATTGTGTTTCTCCCACTTGTTAAGTGCTGTTGAGTGGAGTACAATTCATAACAACCCCATGAACAGTGGACCTGAATCTGTCCAATCCTGTGCCATCCTCACACTTTCTTATACACTAGAGCTCATTGTGGCAGTCACTGTGTCAATCCACCTGGTCGAGGGTCTTCCTCTCCTTCACTGACCCTCCACCCATCATGTCCTTCTCCAAGGAATAACCCCTCCTAGCAACATGCTCGAAGTATGTGAGGCAAAGCTCCATCATCCTTGCCTTCAGTGAGCATTCTGACATATTTGTTTGTTCTTTTGGCAGTCCATGGGATGTTCAGTGCACTTCTCCAGCACTTAAAGGCATCAATTCTTCTCCTGCCATGCTTATTCATTGTCCAACTCTCAGATGCATAGCAAGCGATTGGAAAGACCATGATCGTTAACTCATTAGTGTTACATAATTTTTTCTTTAAAGAGAAATTACCTATATCATATTCCTGGTTTTCAAAAATCATAATAACAACAATACTAACTTTAATTTTAAGTATCTATTATATACCAGGAACCATAAGCTCACTTTTTTATATGTATTATTTCACTGAATTTTAACGTAACCCTCATTTAAAAAAACTGGAATATAGAGATTGAGTGGGAGAAGATTGACTTATTATTCTAAAGGCAGGACTTAATCTGTTCTATTACAATATCTTTATCCCCATAAGTAAAGAATAAAATAATAGTACTTTATATTTCTCAATAGAACCGTGATATACTTTTTTAAAAAAAATGAGACTGAAAAAAATAACATGTTGTTTCAATGTCAAATCAAGACATAGCTTAGGTTGTCATAGTTGATTTTGAAATTAATTCAATGCATCCTAATTGTAAATGCCTTGAAGTTCAGGATTGTATTTTACTCATATTTATATCCTCAGCCCCCATCACAGTCTTGGAAGTACTTGAAATCTTTCACTAAACTTTTGAACTTATTGGGTAAATAGTGCATTGTTTCTAAAAAGCCTTATTAAGTGGAGCTTGGCTTTTCTCATTATAATAATTTCCTTGTTTTTGTTTTGTCAAGAACAAAGGTATAATTTAATACAAATTCAGATGAAGTGCATCCGTGTTAACGTTAACCACATGCACTCCACTCCACAGGTTCAATGATTTTGATGTGGTTCCCTCCACCCTCTGCTCCCAAGATTACCTGGCGATTTATGACGGTTCTAACGTCACTGATCCCCTCCTGGGTATGTTCTGTGGCTCCAAGCTTCCACCAAACGTGAGAGGCAACAGTAATATTTTGCTCCTGGTGTTCAAGACAGATGAATTTCAAACAGCAAGAGGTTGGAAGATAACTTTCCAACAGACACTGGGTAAGGTTTTTGGCCACTGGGTAAATCTATTTTTCATGAGTCTGACCTACCTTTCCACTTTTTTTTTCTTTGTAACTTGACTACAGTTGCTTTTACCTTAAGCTTAATGATATACGGCATGTAAGTCATGATTTTATGAAGTATGTGCGTTATCTTTTGATTAAAAAAAAAAAAGTATTTCACAAACCTCTCCCTCTATTATACAAAGTCAAGAGCTATTTATATGTGGCTATCTCAAATGAGCCCTTAGCCTCCAATCACCAGTGAAAGTAGTAAAACAAAAACCAAAGCTCACTGCCTTCAAGTGTATCCTCACTCCTGGTGACCGCCTGTTTTACAGAGTAGAATAGCTCCATAAGGTTTCTCTTAACTGTAACATTTATAGAAGCAGATCTCTGGCCTTTTCTTCCATTGTTGCTGTCTATGTTCAAACCACGAGAATTTAGGTTGGTAGAATAGCAAGTGGAAATGATAGAAGTTGAGCCAGGTGGCAAACAAGGGCCAATAGACAGACAATATGAAACCATGTGTGTGTTAACTTCAATCTTCAACTGGTAGAAAGCTTTCTCTTTCTCTCATTACCTTTAAGTCAGAACAGACCTGGAGCTGACCCCGCCTTAGGCTTCCTAGACTGCCTATCTTTCTCCTGAGGAGCTGCAGGTATATTTGAACCACCAGAGAGAAATAGCATTCAGCATAATCACAGGACTCCCTACAGACTAGAGATCCCCTAAAGAGCCCTTGGGGGTTTAAGTATTTGTAACTAGATGCGGCTTTTAGAAATATCTCTGGATGAAATCAAAACAACTATGAGATAGCATCTCACCCCAGTAAGAAGAGCAAAATTTAACAGAACAGCAAGCAACAAATGCTGGTGAGGTTGTAGAAAAACTGGAACCCTTATTCACTGTTGGTGGAAGTGTAAAATGATGCAACCACTGTGGAAGGCGGTGTGGCACTTTCTCAAAAAGTTGCAAATAGAGATACCATTTGACCCAGCAATTCCATTACTGGGACTATACAACCTAAAGATACCATAAGCATGTTTATTGTGGCTTTGTTCACAATAGCAAGGAGTTGGAAATAACCTAAGTGCCCATCAACAAACGAATGGATAGAGAAGCTGTGGGATAGTCACACAATGGAATACTATGCTGCATTGAAAAACAAGGAACTCATGCAATATTATTCAAAATGGGTGACCCTGGAGGACATTATGCTGAGTGAAGTATCTCAGTCACAAAAGGACAAATACTGCATGGTGCCACTGTTGTAAAACAGGACTGATCTGGGGTTGGGGAGAGACTGAGAAAAGTGGATTAAATAATGCATTGAAACAGAGGAGGGAGGAAACTGCTTAAAAAAAAAGATCTCTGTGGTAGCAGTATGGTGGAAGACACAAATAACCTTAAGACTTAAAAGGGACAGCATTCATTCTAGGCATCTGATTGGGAACTGTTGAAGCCTTTGACTAACATAGTGAGAATGGGAAGAGAGAAAAGGATGGAAATCTTAAAGATAGTCCTAAAATAAAATACATTGGAAATAGAATGATTGGAACTTGATGACATTACACATGGGCTCAGATGAAGATGACCTTTAATAGGAAAGTTACTAGATGGTGTAGTGCATTTGGGGAGCTAAGGTAATGCTTTTGGGAGGAGGCTGAGTTTGAAATCTGCAAGATGTCTCAGAGGAGATAACTTGGAGGCATCTAGAAATTGAGAAGAAATTTGGGGTTGAGAGTTCTCTGGCAGTCATGAATAGGGAAGGCAGGGGAAGCTGGGCTTGAGAAGAAATCTGTAATAATGCTGTGGTTAATTCTAACTATGTGTGAGAAATAATTACCTATGTCAGCTTAACTCCATACTTTGAATCCTTTAACAGAGAAGGTGCCTTCTTACTCGTAAGTGTATCAATGCCACAGCCTAAGATAATTTATATTTGATGTAAAAGGGTGCTTTGCTTCTCCTGTTTGAATATAGACATTATTAGATTACTGTTCTGAAAACTAACATCTCTTCAAATTACAGTATGAAGACTCAGAAGAAGCTGGGGCATTTTCCAGCTGCTAAACCAGTCTTACATTTCACAATGTCTCTTTCTATTTACCACATGCTGTGGCTAATCTTTATCTCTCTGGTAAAATGCAGACTTTACCTTACACTTCCTTACATTTGCCACATTATCTTTTTCATACATGTCTTCAGGGATGCAATTAGACATTTGTGTTTTGAAAGCTTCCCAATAAACCACAGGCATCATGACAAATGGTATCAAAATAGTACTTTGTCACCTACCCTCCTTAGCTGTGTCAACAATAAGTTGAAAGCAAGTCTCACCGGCAAACAAAGAGTATTACCTTAAAAGAATTGCCTAAGTGAGGTGGCATACAAAACACAGAAGACTGCTTTGAAAGAATTAATTTTTCTTTGGAGATTTCTTGCACTAAAGAACTCATAGATTCTTGCCTTTAGCACAGACTTCAGAATGAAATGGCATATGCATGCATTTGATCTTGTTACCTGCTTTCAAGTTGTTTTTCTTATTCCTAATGTATTCACTGAGTCCCTGGGTGGTTCAGCAGTCACCATGCTTGGCTGCTAACCAAAATGTTAGTAGTTTGGGTCTACCTAGGGACAATTTGGGAGACAGGCCTGCCAGTGTGCTTCCAAAAAGAATCAGTCATTCTGCTCTAACTCATGTGGGATCAGTATGAGTTGAAATCAACTTGAACCCAGTTGTTATGTTATTTTTGTTGCTGGTTTTATGTGTATGTACAAGTGTCATCTGCTAAACCTATGAATGACTCCGACTATTGTCCCTTCCTGCTGTCCGTAGTCTTCCTGGCTGCCTATATTTCTAGTTGTAGCTTAATGCATATTATCACTTATAGTTCAGTACACAAATTTTTATTAAATAGGACATTTAAGATTCAAAGAGTTGTCTTCAAGCTCTCCAGCACTATCATGTGTGTGTTGCTTCTCTAATTATTTAGTGTTCCATGTTGTTGTTGTTATTGATTGTTTTGAGTCCAGCACAACTAATAGCAATCCCATGAACAAAAGGCCTGAAGCATGTTATTTAGGAAGTGGATTCCTCTCCTGCTTCTAAATCTGTCATAGTATGTTACTGTTGTTATATGCTATAGGATCCTTCATTTGTTCTCTGAGCTACAGAGATGACACTTACAAACTCACTGTGGCAGTCATCACAACAAAGCAAGGAAACACTGCATAGTTTAAAAGAAGAAAAGGAGTGCAGCAGGGGTGTGTCCTGTCTCCATACTTTTTCAGTCTGTATGCAGAACAGATCATTCTAGAGTCTGGGCTTTATGAGGAGGAATCTGGCATCAGGATTGGAGTAAGACTCATCAACAACCTGAATTATGCAGAAAATGTATACAATATGGATAGAAGCTCAACATCAAGAAAACGAAGATTCTCACCACAGAACCAATTGACAGCATTAGGATAGATGGAGAAGAGATTGAAATTGTTAAAAATTTCAGCTTGCTCGGTTCCACAATTAATACTCTTGGCCCTAGCTGTCAAGAAATCAAAAGAAAAATTGCACTGGATAAATCTGCTGTCAGATACCTCTCTAGAGTGCTGAAGAGCAAGAATGTCAGTCCAGAGACTAAGGTGCGCCTGATCGAGGCCATGGTCTTCTCAATTAGTTGTTATGCATCAGAGAGCTGAACAATGGAATAGCATGAGTGAAGAATAATTGATGCCTTTGAGTTGTAATGTTGTAGAAGAGTATTGAACATAACCAAGAGAACTAACAAATCGATCCTAGAGAGGGTGAAAACAAGCTGCTCCTTGGAGGCAAGAATTGTGAAGCTCTATTTCACATACTTTTGGCATATAGCCAGGAGGGCGCAGTCTTTGAAGAAAGATATGCTTAGAAGGGTGGAAGAATAATGTAGGAGAGGAAGACACTGGATGAGACTGATTGACACAATAACTGGAGTATTGAGGGTAGATATGTCAGAGACAGCGAGATTGGCTCAGGATAGAGCAGTGTTCAGAGCTATTGTACCTGGGGTTACTATGAGTCGACCCGTACTTAACACAGAAGGAAAATCAGCATCAGGAGCATCATCTACCCATAAGTCACTGCACTTTTATAGTCCTCTGCTGTTTTCTTTGGGTCACAGAGGGAAATGTAGTGTGGAGATCAGACATGGAATTTACCAGCACTGTGTTAGCACTGCTTTTCATAATGAAGACATTTGTCTCCTTTTCATTTATATAAATGCCATGAGAACTTGGAAATACTTAAGAAGTAATTTGAAGTAATTGTTAATAGTCATTTGCTACTGTAAACCCAAGTATTATTACTTTTTTTTTTTTAATTTAGGTTGTTTATTTTTCATTTCAGTGAACATCTACAGAGATTTTGGGATTCCATTCATTCATTGTTGCACCCTTCTCCCCGCACAA